ACGAGCTGCTCAAGGATTTAACGTTTGGCCTAGCAGCTCCATCAGAGAGATCCCATCGTGTTTTCACCCTCTTTAGGAGGACTGCAAGGGTAGGAAATACAGCACCTGGAGCATATTACACGTGACGCAACTGATTTAAGAACTCCAAATCAGCACAGTCCTCCCAGATTGCAAAGCTGTCTCCGCGTTTCAAAAAGACAAACTCTTCCAAGAGCAGACACGATGGGCGCACCACAAAGGTCTGCCTATGTGTAGCACTGACCTTCAGCAATGACCTTCAGTGGTGGGCACCTGGTGAAAACCAGGCCCGCAGGGCATGGACAAAGCAGTGCTTGCGCTGACCCCCACCCTCCGGGCCGGGCTGCGCTCCCCCTCACGATCACGGGCACTGCTCAGCTCACAGCACGCTCCTGCTCGCTGCCGCGCAGCTCACGCCAACGCAAAGCTGAACTGAAGGGGAAGGTGCAAGGAAGGACAGAGAGAGGACAGGACAGCTTCGCAGTGCGTCAATTCTCCCTATACAGGGACACGAGAGAATTTTAAACAAACTTGTTGCCATGCAAATCAATACATTAAGATACAAACTGCTTAGAAACATGGGAATAAACCACGAGCATTTGCCACAATGCGAAGGCAGGTTTCGAGCGCTTTGGTTTTGCGGCACTCGTTCCTGCAATGCTGCTTACCAGAGACACTCTCCACAGCCCGCTCACCACAGTCCATCTGAAATTTGAGCAGCCTTCAAATGGAAAAGGAATGGAAACAGGAGAATGAGAGAAAACAAACCAACGGCTACCAATTAATTTTCATCTCTTACATTGTTCCAGTTCAGCTGGGGAAAGGCAACCTTTCCAAGTGAGTTCAGAAATCCTGCGGGCCCCTTCATCCGTTCCTGTCAAGTCCTCAGAAAAGAAGGTTGGAAAATGCTAACTACAGGTAATAAAGCAGAACCACTGAAATTTATAAATCCGGAAATTCAGGAAAAAAATTCTGTACACAAGAATAAATTAAAAATATATTTAGCAACATGTGAGCGAGCAGAGAGCTCCAGACTGGAGGCCTGTTTTGCTCAAAAAACTGATGCAAGTGCACAATTGTAGTGAAACCCTTACACAGACACAACGAACAGAGCAGCCTGTGGGAGATGCAAAGGATAAAAATAGTGTCCTTACTCTGCTTTTTCATTGTGGAAAACACTCATACCTTTTTCTAAATTTGGAAATAGAAGGTCTTTCTCTTTCTGCCCCTCTCCCTCTCTCCACATTTTAAGTGATGTATCATAGAAACTTAAAAGTAGCAGTATTTCTAACTCTTTTTCAGGTGAAAGATAACACACATGCCGTAACGCCCCGTGCTGCTATCCTTTCTGCACTGCAGCCAAAATGTAATAATAGAGCTCCAGCAGAGGTGTGAATTGCTTCCATTCATCCTCACCGAGTATTAACTTCATACACTGGCATTCATCATTCCAAAGTCCACCTATTAGGATAGTTAATTAATAGCCAGGCTAGTTAGGATAACACTCAGGGATTAAAAACAATAATGTAGTGATTTCCACAGCATTACAGGAATCAACTGTAAAATTAACACTGTACTTCAGGTATTTTCTCATTCACATTTTTTAAGATGATGCACACGAACCCAACTGCCTGTATACGAACAGGCTATTATAGTGCACGGCAAGACTCAGCTCTTTCAGGGGGAGGAGGAAAGAGCAAAAGCTTGGCAAAACTTTGCCAACTTTCTGCACCTTCACAGATAATCTAAGTCTTAAGTGTTAATTCTTGCTGGTTAGGGTTTAAAATAAAGTGGCTGCAGTGATTATTGCTCAGTAGTACGCTACAAGAGTGAATGATAAATGAGAAACAATTTCCATAGAATTTCTAATAAATGTTCCTCCTAAATTCTAGTGTCTGAAAAAAACGCTACAGTTCATTCACATGAATGTAAGGTCCCCCATTTACCTAAAAAGTTTTGGTTCAGTCAGACAGAAAATCACTTCCTGATGTACAGCTGTCATTGCTTTCTCAAGGTACACTTTTATAAGGTAAATATTTAGCTTTTTACACTACTGCCAGAGATACCCTGAGTGTCTGCATCCCTATAGTACAGAGAAGCCTGTGAAACACAGCTATTAGAGGGCAGCCACAGGCACGAAGGCAGCTACATCTGGTTACCAAGAGTTAAACAAGCTGGGAGAACTGCAAGACTAAAGGCAAGATGGGGAGCCTCAAGCATTAATGCTCACACAACGCTGAGAAAGTCTGATCGATCCCTTGATCAAAGGAGGCCAGAGACCTCTCAAGTTAGAGGCATCCCCTACGTGCACACGCGCACTTTAACCCCCTGAAGCAAAACTGCTGAGCAAAGTGTGAGGTTTTATAAGAAAAATGTGCTATCTAATGGCTGCTGCTGCTCAAAAAGGCGGTCCCACTCCTACCACCCCCCTCGCTTTTCCTGTCTCCTCAGCGAGCTCACTCAGTTCATTTTTTTGGCAGGTAGTGTGTCACATCTCACGGTCCCACTGGTTTTCTGCTAGTTAAACACGCCGACCAGGAGCCAGTGCCACAGAAGTAGTTGTGAACTCCTGGCCAAGAGCGGACAATGCTGTTTCTGGTACTGACAAACTATGGGATGGCTCACCTTGTGTTGTGAAATCTCCGCTAGAAACTTTATGATAAAAATAACTGCAGTCTTTTCCAGGGATCCTTTTCTTTGGGATCCTACCAAAACTTCTGAGTTAGTTCCCAGGCCTCACCACACGTGGCTATTTCTATATTAAACTCATAAGTAGAACATTCTCGAGGCAAAAAGGATTCCTGAAGCAGTACCAAGCTGCACCACCTGTGTGCCTTCAGGCCACCTATCAAAAATGAAAAGTATCTTATGGATCCTGAGAGAGCCGAGTGATCTGTTGGCATGAGAAATCCTAGCTTGTCAGCTCAGGAATAGACGTATAACTCCCACGTAGTTACTTAGCAATAGGACGGGAAAAAATGGGCTCAAGCTGCGCCAGGGGAGGTTTAGGTTGGAAATTAGGAAAAATTTCTTCACAGAAAGGGTGGCCAAGCATTGGAACAGGCTGCCCAGAGAGGTGGTGGAGTCACCATCCCTGGAAGTGTTCAAAAAAAGGGTAGATGTGGCACTTCGGGCCATGGTTTAGTCTAGTCTACCCTTGATTGGTTTAGCGTGGACTTGGTAGTGTAGGTTAATGGTTGGACTGGATGATCTTAAAGGTCTTTTCCAACCTAAACGATTCTATGATTCTAAGATTCCAACTCCGCTATTTGCTGTTCCTCCCTATTGGACAGGTGAGGATCAAGCACATTCAATCAGGGTTATGTTAAAGTTGGCACATCAATCCGAGTTTTCCAAATCCAATGTGACATAATTAAAAAGGCTAATAGCACAGACCCACTGCTCAGAAGTTAGAAATGCCCGGCTCCGGGGCACCTCCCCGTCTCAACTGATAAAATGTAAGTCAACATATTAACAGAACTGTCTCAGCAGGACTTTCTAGCAATAGTCAACCAATTTGCTAACTGTGCACCTTATGGACAGAAAAATTTATTTAAATGTCACTTACTAGCTGCTTTCACATTACATAAATATATTACGTTGCTATGATTCACTTGTGTCTTATTCCAATTCTCAGATGTAAAAGCGCTAAGCCAAATTAAAAGAAATACTGCATCTGGAAATAATGAACTTTCCCACTCTAAATCTTGCCATTTGAGGCTGAGGTCTAATTTCTTAACTTTACACAAGCCATTTCTGTGGAGGTTTAGCCTCCTTACGGCATAAAGTCTCTGAAGAGATGAGGCTATTTTAGAGAAATCAGATCCCATCTGATAGAAACAAACTTTAAAAACCTTACCATGGTATCAGCTACTACTTTCATTCTACTAATATGAGGAACTTTGGTGGTGGGCACTCAATAGCATATTTAACAGAGCCCAGGTGGTGTTGAAAATTGCATTTACATTTCATTTAGGCAAAAAAAAGGAACTATAAAAGGGTACATGGAAGTTTACAGAGATCTGAGGTAAAATTAGGGCTCCATAAATGTAAAATTTCCTTTGTCTTCAACAGAGGCAGAATTTCACCTTTCAAGCCCAAACCTTCTCTGACACACAACAGTACGTAAAATATACAAACACTCTATTTCGAATATGAAACACTTGTAAAAATGGGAATAAGAGAGAAAAAGAAAAAAAGTCTTTCACTGGGACCAATACTGAGGTACATTGAGTAATATTCAAAAGCAGATATTAACTGAAAAATGTCTGTTATTAACTGCAAAATGGAAATACTTCCTAATGCTACTAAAAGCTATTATGCTAGATGGGCAAAGCCTTCTAATTTAAAAAATACTTCAGTATGATTCAAGTACACTGAGGTATAAAACTGCATTTAAAAAAACAATTAACGAATACTATCATGATGTGCCCATTAAACTGGGCTAAGGCAGTTGGTCTCTGGACCCATGTTAGGATAAGTTAGGGTAAACATTTGGAATCAGGAAGTTCTTAATATGAACTGGCTGAAATTTTGGAAATTATTCAAGCAACAGAAGTCTTTCACTGTTTAGGATAATGTGTGCATTATCCTAAATGCGCACATCACAATACACACATCATGACTGATGTAGTATCTATCCATCTCACTGTCTTTAAAAGAGAAGTTATTTCAAGGTTCTGCTTTTGTTCACCATGTGCACTAAACCATTTTTGCATTGCAAAATTCTCAAGAGATCTTTTTACCTGTCATAATTACATCATTAAAAACTAATATTTTAGAATGGCAAAGACTAATTGTCCAATAACTGAAGAAAGTGACTCAAGATTAAAGAATGAACACCAGCAACGCAGTGAAGAGCATTGTTTCTTCCATAGACAGCTTTGGTCAGTGTTTTCTTTAGGATGTCCAGCATTCATTTTAGTAGTTTTGACACGTCCCTGTGTCCTCCTCAGCTCAGTTCAGACAGTGACAATAGGCTGTTATTGATCAATCCAACTGAAAATTATTAGAACTAAACTCAGAAGGCCAACACAAATGCCAAAAATAACCAATGCACATGCCTGTGAAGAAAGAAAAGCAAAAATTAATGTTTTACTGAGGGAACCATTTTACATTTTTAAGGCTTATAACTAATGCTGAAAAAACCTGTAAGAGCAGGTTTAAATAGTGTCTTTTAAAATAATCTTTAATGTTTCAAATTACTTTGTCTTCAAACACAAGGTATCTGCTTAGGGAGAAGCTGAACTAAACCTGTTCTGGGATAGTTACATTGGGAACTCTCAGAGCAGTCTGGTTTGCTTTGCTCACACTATCCATCTGAAAAAAAGAAAAAAATCATTTGCCCTTTATAACTCTGAACTAATTAAGAAACTGAATTTGTATTTTACTCAAAATATAATTCAAGTTACAATGGATTCTTTACATCTTTTAATAGCCAGATGATAATAAAACCAGAGTTCAAGAGACAGTAGATTGCTGATTTATAACAAGGCCCCAAATCTCTTGGAACTAGTTGAGACTTTAAATGGTCAGAGAGCATCATTATTAGATTTTCTTTCAAATTCCCCATTTTGTCAATACAAGAGCAGCCCTATGAATCACCAGAATGGCAGAAGGACTATGTATAAACAGTCTGTCAGCATTTTAGCCACTGTCATGAAGTTACTCGGCTGAGCAGTGGTTAAAATGAAGACAGTTACTGTGTAAAAACCAGCCTGCTGCACAAATTCCAACTAGAACTTAACCTACTACACCAAAAAAGAAAACATAAAGAGGAGGAAAAAAAAGGGGGGCGGGACACGTTTTGGGGAAGGCTTACATAGAAAGCAAGCATAAATACTGTTTCACTTAAATGCAGTTTGGCTTTGTCCCAGCTGCCCAGACAACATCAGAGTAATGCGTAAAAACTGAAGAGAAATTGGATTAAAAGTCAACATCTGAAAACTATAGGGAAAAGCATGTATTCAGATCAATGGTCCGGCATATGGACGTACTGCCAGTCAAAAATCTCTTGTGAAGAAGGAGTTTCAGAAAGACTAGAGCTATCATGAAGGATAAAGGAAAATGGTCACAGATTTTTTGAACTGCAATGAAAACAAGAACTTTGCCCCTTGGATTACGTGGCCTACTGTGTATGAAGGTGCATCTAAAATGAGCCTGTTTAAATATAATTAGCACACATAAAAAAAGCATACCCCAAGTTTCTGTGGTGATAAAAAGTCCTCTCTGCTAAGTTTAAGATAAAATAGTCCAGGATATACAAAAAGCAAACATGTTGATGTGGTTGAACCTTTAAAAAACAGAAGTAAGATTTTATTTAGAGCAAGATGGAAGTATATTAGCTTATCATAATACTGAATTTTTTGAAGTTTAAAAAAAAAACCAAAACAACAACCACAACAACTTACCAACTACTCCAAATACATTTTTAATGTCTGGCACGTACATTGCAAACAAAACAACAATCGTATTCAGTGTTAAAGTAACAAGGATATGGCAAATCCACGACACAGGAAGATGAGAGAAAAATACCATCAATACAGCTTTCCTTGCCTACATAACATGAAGAGAAACATTGCGTGGGTAAATACATACGTATACACATCTTTTAATTTTATCTCAATTTCATAAACTTAAGAATTACATCATTCCAGATGTGAAAGAACATTTAAAAAAATCAAAATGCAAAAAATTTAGTAATACTTAAATGTTTTGTCTTTCTGTAGCATAGAGTTTACTTTAGTATTAAAGCAGTATTTATCACGTGGCCATTAGTCTTAAGAAAGTACTCCTTTTTTGCAGGTAAAAAGGTCTGGGGGATAATGCTTTGACTCTTTGAGCATGCTTGGTAGCAAATGTCAGCATGTTGCCAACTGATGTGTAATCTATACACTACTTCTATACACACAGTTTTGCATGCACAATTTTTTTTGGTCATAACTGAATGAATTGTCAGTTCTACCGTGGTATTGATAAACTAAAGTAGGGGTTTTTTTTGTGAAATAGGTCAATATGTGTTTTTAATTTACAATTAAATTGAGTTTTCAAGTGTAAGTGTGTTTGTGTGCGGGTGCGTGCATGTAGAAAGGAAAAACCAAGTCAGCAAAACTCAATTTAAGAGGGGAAAAAAAAATCAAACTAAATAAACTTTAGAAGTTCTGAATTCTCTAAATTAAAAACAACGCTGTGGGCTAGTTCTAATCTGAAATCTGTCTCAAGAGCACAAATTAGCTTAGTGGTTAGCTGTTATTTTGGAGCTCTCATGGAACATATGCAAATATGTGGTCTTTGATCAATCACTTGACAAGTGAATAAGATACACAAGACTAGATGTGACTCAAATATTGCAGTCTGCAAAGCATTAGCGTTACCATTTGCTTATGCCAGCTTCAAAACGTTTAGGAGTACTTACTGGGAAATGGATTAGAGGGACTGTCAAAAGCACAGCAAACAGTATGGCTACTTTAACAGTCATGATGACAACATCATGTGGCAGGTACCTGCTGTAACCTTGTAGCAATTCAGAGTCCACTTTGTCTGAAAACCAGAAAAATTAATTGCTTTGTTAATCATTTGAGAACTAAGATAATTAGCAACGCATATTAAGCTCACATTCACATTTATCAATTTGCTTGTGACTAATGCGGAGTGGAGGGGGGTTGCAGATATGCATTACTTTGGCATTACTGATATACTAGCTCTAACAGACACGCAACCTTGAGAAAAACTGACAAAAAACTTGGAAGAAGCAAGCCCCTGTAGAGCCTCTGCTGAAGCCAAAGCTACCTAAAGAGAAGATAAAAATATGGAGGAGAAAGCATTAAAAAGAAAGATGACCAGACATGAAGCCAAGTACGCAGTACTGTAAAACTTGCTCTATGTGTCTGAAACAGTCAACACCAGATTCTCTTGGTTCAACTAGAAGCCAGAAACAAATTCATTTTGCTAAATTGGCTGACTTACATTTCCTTTTTTTTCCCCAGAAACACTAGGTGATATGCAAGGTAAAATTTCATCACTCAAAAGAAAAGCTACAATTCTCATTTAGAGGAAGAAAGAAATGTTCAAAACTATGCAAGCATATGTGCTTTTATTGGCTATAGTTAGCAATGTATTGCTGGATGACATGGAAAAGGATAACTAGCAACAGTTATACTTCTAAAAGATGTTTCTTATTTAAAAAAAAAAAAAAAAAGAACAAAACTATTGACAATTGGCACTGATTTTTCCCCATGCCAAATGAGTAGACAAATGCAACACAAGGACACCTGAAGGCTGTCATTTTGGATTCTTAGAGCACCCAGAGAGCAATCGAGGACTGCACTGCCAACACACCCAACCACGCCAAATGCTTTCAAATGATCAGCAGTAAGAATCTCATATGCTATCCACCACATGCATATTTAGTTTGCAAAACTGACTCTATTGTGGAATCACTGTAGTATTGTATACCATGGATACAGCATCATGAGCATTACTTTTGTGCTCTTCAAGGCAGAAGTGGGGCAAAAAGTGATGAATCGTTGATGAATCCTTCACTTTTGACTTTTGCTCTTTTGAGGTGCAAAGTTTCACTCAGGTAACAGCAAAAGTCAGAGCCCTGAAAGTTGTCTGCTCCCTGACACTTTTTTTCGGCATACCCTGACTCTATGCTTTTTTGGACTTCATAATGGACCAAAATTTCCACCAAAGTCCAGTCGCTGCATGAAGTTTCAGATTCACAGTAAACAGAATAAACCATCTGAACCACAGAGAGATGAAGCATGTCTCATTTCAAAGAGGGAACTCTTTTTTTGTTTTCAATTTAAAATAAAATGTTTTGTATTTTCTTGGACTGGCGTTTTAGGAACAGGGAACAGATTCTCTTTATTTAAAGAAATAAGTTAATTAAACAAGACAAGCAAAAAGTGAAAAAAGGAGAAGCAGCTTGCAAGGCGAGGGGAAATCTCTTACAGATATCCACTGTTGGTTCCAGTGTTTTAGGCTCTTGAGTCTAAGAGTTACTAAAAGGAATCAGGCTTGCAGAAAACCAGAAATGTTACCAGTGAAACAGACTAAAAGACTATGGTCAAGACAGGGTCTTGTCCCAAAGAAATAATGACAGTGAAGGTAACAGGAACTGGGATGGTTCCTAGCACTACTACAGTTTTCTTTTTTCCTTTTTTCTTTTTTTTTAACTTCTTGTTGAGATCTCATCTGGAGACAGATGGTTATCCCACACTGCCTGCTGAATCTCGGAGACTCTCAAGAGTGGCACTCAAAACTATATTTTCCTATAAACCACATGGAGACAGTGAGGAAACAGTAATAGTGGCCTATATGCTATTAGGGGTTTCATGACTCCCCATATAATTTTTCAAAGGATTCTGAGTGTCAAGGGAACATTTTCAGACAGTTATGGTCAGACATACTCCTATACTTGGGGAAAAAAGGTGCAAAGTTCCCTAGAAATCTGGAATTATTAGCTGCTGAAAGCCAACATTCTTGGTGCTTTGTCAGAAACTATATCAACACCACGATCAAGAAATATAAAACACTCTGAAAGGAGATAAAATCCTAAAATCCACAAAAGAACACTTTTGTGTTCTGATTTTGTTTCTGATTTCTGTTCTGCCTTACTGTCCCTTGCAAGAATTTTTATTCATTCTAATCAACACAGGTTAGCATGCGGTCATCTCATAAAAAGGGTGAGTTTTCCGAAGACATTACAAGAGTCCTCTTAGGTGACTGTGATGGATTTCTGTGATGGCATTTGTATGATACTGCTCCAAAAGACTGTTAGGTCACCCAGTAGAGGTGATTCAACTTGACAAGGTGTGCTACATGAGCAAAACACACCGTAACACAAATATAAAGCAGGATACACAGAGCCAAATGACATTTCTTAGAAAAGGCATCACACTGTGATGGTCTGTGACAGGATACTAGAATTGCTGTATGAAATAGATGCTCACCTACTTTGCCAAGGTTATGATGGACCTTTAAAAAAAAAGCCACTATGTAGGTAAGGGTTCTGAAATCTGTGTATTTGGGAAATGCAAGAATACTAGACAGATGAAGTCATCTATGCTTTAACTCAACTAAAAAACTGTACCCAAAAGTATTCAAGAGTCCAAATGCAGAGTTATTAAATTGGTACTGAAGCACATTGCCACATAAACTCTACAGTAAATGAAAGTGAAAGATGTCCGTAGAATTCGGTAGGGCAAGTGTCGTACCCCGCTCTTCTGTTCGGTAAATAAAAAGGTATATTTACTTCATCAAGCACTACGTCGACAACATGTACATGTCTAAGAAACGTGCATTTCTTGGTTCAGTTCATGTATCGAACAGATATTACGTCTGGCTCAGGAACTGCAAGCAACACAAATTATTGAAGACCAGAAGCATTAGGAAGCCCAACTCAAAGCTTATCCTTTTAAATTTTTAAATCCTTCCCTAGTCTTTTGTCATTGCCCTCCAGTCAAGACACAAAACTAGATGGGCGCTTTCTCTGATTCAGACCTGCTGATTTTCTTATGTTCCTTGTCAATTTTTTTTCCAGAGTCCTCTAGTTGTCTTTACATTACATATAAACAAAGGTATCATGAAGAAGTCACTTTGTGCAATCCTTTAAAATAAAGCTTTCCTAAATTGGAAGATTCATGGGAAATTTTTTTCCACTTCCAGCAGATTTCTAATGAAATAGCTAGTGTTAGTTCCAATTAATTTGTAAAAAGACAAAAACAAAACAAAGAAGCCATACATGCTTTCTACCCAAGCTGTATAGGATGGGGAAAACATGCGGCAAACCTTCATGCCTACCTAACATTAGGGCTACCTTGCCGTGGGTCAAATTCCCCTCATAAAAGGCAACAGCCTCAGTGCTACTTAGAGACTACAAATGTGCTGGGACATCACAGGGTTAATAAGTGATAAATGTTGCTAGAAGATACAGCCTTTGAACAGGCCTTTCAAACTTGTTGGACAAGCAGACTATTATCAGTTCTCGAAATTTCTGAGAGACCATGATAAATCCGTTCCCAGGTTTCAAGTGAAAGTATTATACAGTCCAACATGTAGTGGCCATCAGTAGTTTAATTACATAGCATTGGAGAGCATCAACAGACCATCAGCTACAGTTTAGGGACCAATATCTTGTCTGTATAGCATTTTAGGGTATAAATCCTGCAAAGTTTAGCTACATTACATGTTGAGAAGTCAATGAGACTGTAACACTCTGCAGTGTTAGGCATATTCTTAAGTCTTCACAGGAACAAGATTTCTGACGATTCAAGTGTGTCAATGCACAACCAAGCCTGAAGTACTCCAGACAGAATGCATTTGTCATTTATTATTAGCCTTCATTCTAAAGAATACCTGAAGAATATACTTACCATAAAATGTCAGGTACCCAAACAGAGCAGACATAAAGTAAATGAGGAAACTCAGACCAATTCCTGTCACAGTTACATTCTGCATTCTACTTTTGGATGGACTAAAATGCAAAAAAACCCAGAAAATTAGTGTTGCTTAATCTGTATTGTAGACTATTAAACACAATGCAATCTACATTTAAAAAAAAATAGCAGCTTGCCTTTCATAAGAAACCATCCTCTTAATTTATGTCCACAGAGTATTTGCTGAGGTCTGTGCTGTCAGTAACATTTAGAGGATTTAAAAGTATTTTTAATCTGGTAATTAAAGGGCACTTTTCGTACAGACAACTAACATTGTTCCCATCTTGTAGGTAATTTAGATAGCAGAGGATTTTTTAAACCAAAATTTTGATTTATACAGGATGATGCATATTCAGAGCCAGGAACGGAATCTGGGTCAAAAAAAACACTGAATCAGATGTGGCCAAATTCAGATTCAGTTACAGGAATAAAAATTAACTAGTAAGTACCTTAGCAAATGACCTTTTTTCTCCAGATTGTCCAGGCCAGGACAATGTACTGACATTGGTGATGGAACCGTATTTGCTACTTTTCTCTCCTGTAAGAGAGGAAAAGCCAGTACAGACTAAAACTGTACATTTCCCAAAAACATTAAAGCTATTTAGTTTGCATTGTTTGATGGCACTCACTACAAGAAGGGCTGGAAGGAGGATCCAGGGAACTATAGGCCTGTCAGTCTGACCTCTGTGCCGGGAAGGTTATGGAGCAGATCATCCCGAGTGCCATCACACAGCACGTACAGGACAGCCAGGCGACCAGGCCCAGTCAGCATAGGTTTATGAAAGGCAGGTCCTGCTTGACTCCCTCTGTGACAAGGTGACCCGCTTAGTGGATGAGGGAAAGGCTGTGGGTGTTGTCTACCTGCACTTTAGTAAAGCCTTTGACACTGTTTCCCACAGCATTCTCCTGGAGAAACTGGCTGCTCATGGCTTGGACGGGTGTACTCTTTGCTGGGTAAAAAGCTGGCTGGAGGGCCGGGCCCAACGAGTTGCGGTGAATGGAGTTAAATCCAGTTGGAGGCCAGTCAGAAGTGCTGTTCCCCAGGGCTCAGTATTGGGCCAGTTCTGTTTAACATCTTTCTCAATGATCTGGATGAGGGGATCGAGTGCACCCTCAGTAAGTCTGCAGACAACACCAAGCTGGGTGGGAGTGTCGATCTGCTGGAGGGTAGGA